TAGAAATACTGATCGATAACAACATTTATTGTCGACAACAACATTATCTATGAATATTATCAATCGATAACCACATTTTCTATGGAATAGCAGATGGATAACATCATTTTGTATAAAAGAGTACATCGATAACAAAATCGATCATAAAAAAGTAAACGCTAACGAAATTTTCTACAGCAAATTCCATCGATAACAAAATTTTTAATAGTAAAATTAAGCAATCACATTCCCAGTTGAAGAGTTGATCGATAACAATAGTATCTATAGACAAGTTCATCGACAACCATTTTTAATACTGAAAAAGTTATCGATAACAAAATTTTCTGCAAAATTCTTGATCGATAACACTGTTATCTGTTAAAAATTACCTTTCCGATAACAATATATACATTAAAAAAGTGATCGAAAACAACATTATCTAAAGCCCTAAAATAACCATATATTCAAAACTAAATCGATAATAACTTATACTTGAAAAAAAAAAAACTTCTACAGAAAAATATTTTATGTGGAAAATTTTATCGATAACCATCATTTTTGTGAACAATATGACAATAAAGACATTTAATTTGCAAATCGATAATAACATTTCCTATCGAACATATGATCGATAACAACTATGGTTGGGAAATTTTGGTATAACAACATTCTCTTCATAAAGTTCGATCGCTTACAACATTTTTTATAGAAAATGTCCTTCATATTTATATTTTCTAATGAAATGGTTATCGATAACAAAACTTTCTTTAAGAAAATGTGGTCGATAACAACAGAAGCATTAGAAAAATTGATCGATAACAACATTTGTGAATATTTTCTATTAAAAACTGAATCGATAATAACATTTTCTAACGAAAATATGATCGATATATACATTGTCTGCATAAATTTTGACCGATAACAACATATTCTTTTGAAAAGTCGATCGATAACAGCAAATCTTTAAATAAGTTATTCGATAACAAAATTTTCTGTAAGACAATATAATCGATAACAAAATGTTCTACAGAAGATTTGATCGATTCCAATATTTTTTGATATATAATATGATCGATATCCAAATTTCCTATTAAAATTCTAATCGATAACATCATTTTCTAAAGAAGAAAACTCATTCGATATCATCATTTCACATTATTGAAACCCTTTTTCCCATACATTTTTCGTCCACATTTGTGTCATCTTTTTCATCCTATTTTTAGTTTATTCAATTTGGCTGCTTGTTGTTCTTACAACCTCAAACATCTCGTCTCCCATCTATCCTCCTCACCCCTCTCCCCTAATCATATTCCAATTCCTATTTATTCAGAGTCCTATTTTTACGTGTTTAATGAAGAAATGATGATGGCCCCAAACGATGAGACATTGACGTGTGCTGTCTGTCTGTCTTCGTTTTGGTTCCTTTGTTGAGGTGGGTTCAGGTAGCTGCTCCGAACAAACAAATATGGTAATGGTCGTCACCACTCCTCTCCATTCCATTCAACACTCAAATCCATTGTTTACACAAGCAATTGTTGTCATTAACGGCTGGCTGTCTTCCTAAAGAACTTAGGTGGGTTGCCTGGATAGGAGGATGGTTGATCGGTTGGTTGGTTGGCTGGCTGGCTGGATGCAAGCTTGCAAAGTCATTGCGTATGGCAATGACAAACTAAAGGAATTCAATTTTTTTGTGGTCATCATCGCATTTTGTTGTTGTTGTTTTTTATGCATAGAAATGCAAAAAAGATGAAACAATGGTTTTTGTTGTTGTTTTGTTTTTTACTGACTTGCATATGGTGGTTATGAGTCACGCACGCACACACCTTGAAAGGGATTACAATTATTTGCGGTTGGCGAAAAAAATAAAATTATTAATTCATTATCGTTTTTTATTTTTGTTGTTGTTGATTAATTTCCATTGAAATCATTTTGAGGGATTTTAATGTAATTTTATGTGAAATTAAAATATTTATTTTAATATGTATTTAATTATCGAAAACAATTTTGAAAGGAAATATTATTATCGAAAATAATTTCTAACGAAAATATTTTTATGGTTCAGGGGTTTTCTATCAAAGTTATTTTATCGATTAACATTATCATAGAAAATATAAAAATCGATTATGGCTATTATCGGAAACAAATTTCTATGTTATCGATGAAATTCCAGACAAAATGTTGAGTAAACGAAAATATATTCTTTAGAAAATATTGCTATCAAAGCTTTATTTTATGGGAAATATTGAAATATTATGGTTAAATTAGTTATCGATAAATTTTTCTAAGGAAAATATTGTTAAAAATTGATCTATACAAAATTTAGCTATCGATTTACTTTTATATTGAAAATGTTATTATCGATCTACTTTTCTGAGGAAATTCACGTAATCATTCAAATTTTCTATAGAAAAATGTTGTTATCGATCATATTATTTTAGAAAACGCCGTTATCGACAATTTTTCAATATAACGATTTTTGTTATCGATTTAATTTTCAATAGAAAATGATTTTATCGAACGACGTTTCTATGGAAAACATTGTTATCGATCAATTCGTTTAAAGAACATATAGTTATTGAACCTTTGCTGCATAGTAAATATTGTTATCGAACAGTTTTTCGATAGAAACTTTTGATATCGTTTAACTGTTCTACTGAAAATGTTGTTATCGCCTGATGTTTCTATCGAAAATGTTCTTATAAATAAACTATTCTTTATACAACATTGTTATCGACCAGTTCAATGTTATTATCGAAAAAATATTGTACATAAATCTAGTTATCGCTCTCTACAGAAAAATATTGTTATCGATTAACATTTCCATAGACAATCTGGTTATCGATCACTATCTTTTGAAAATGCTGTTGTCAATTGACCATTTTTGTACAAAATCTTGTTATCGAACCACTATTTTATTGAAAATGTGGTTATCGATTAACTTTATCTTTGAAAAATTGTATCATCGATCAATTTTGCAGACCAGGATAAACACTCTATTATCGATGAACTTTTTGCGGTATTATTGATAAGCTTATTGATTATTTCATTCATAGAAAATTTTTACTAACGTCCACCTTTTCTATAAAAAAATGCTTTTATCGATAAACTTTTTTTTTACCTATCAGTGTTATCGATAACACATATAAATGGTGTTATTGAAGACTTTTCTTTAGAATATGTTGTTATCAATCAACTTCTATAGAGGAAATGCAGTTATCGAACATATTATCAGTAGTAAAGGTTGTTATCGATTGGCCTTTTTGGCAGAAAATATTGTTATCGTTAAATATCTTTATAGACAAATTTGTTATCGGTCAATTTTTTCGTAAAAAAATTAGTTATTGATCTATTTTTCTAAACTGTTTTTATAAACAACTTGTAATCGAACAACATTAGTATAGAACAATCAAGTTATCGATATACTTGTTTATAAAATATACTCGTATCGATTAATTTTTCATCAATAACAATGTTGGCATCGGCGATTTTTAATATATAAATTATTTTTTTATCGATCAAAGAGTCTATAAAAATATTGTTATCGAAAAATTTACCTATAATGTTGTAATCGATAAATTTAATAAAAATTCTTATTATCGATATATTATATAAAACAAATAGTTATTGGTGAATTTGCCTGTATAAAATCATGTTATCGATAAATACTGCTTAAGAAGATGTTGTTATCGTTAAAGTTTTCTGCAGAAAATTTTGTTATCGATAAGTTTGTCTATATAAAATTTTATCGATAGTTATTTTTTTTTAATAAAAATGTTGTTATCGATATGTTTTTCAATAAAATATTCCATTATCGAACACCTAAGATAATCTTGTTATCGATAATTTTTCGGGTATGAAATTCCATTATCGATTGGTTCTTCTCGAAAATATTCTCTTATGAGAAAATCTTATTATCGATAAGTGGCCCAATATAAAATGCTATTATCGATAAGTTTTTCAATAAAATGTTATCGATAAGATTTTTTTTATTATTGATACGCTTCTAAATAAAATAATTTGTTATCAAACACATTGTTCTTGGAAACTGCTGTTATCGACATTTTCTTGACAAAAAATACTCTTATCGAGTGCTCTTTTGTGAGAAAATTTTGTTATCGATGAGTCATCCAATATAAAATGCTGTTATCCATAAGTTTTTTGTTATTTTTCATTTTTAAATACAATATTTTGTTATCGAACACTTTTTTATAGAAAATGTTGTTATCGATTGAGTTTTTGATGGAAAATATTGTTATCGATGGCAATTTCTGTGATATTTGTTGTTATCGATAAAATTGTCTATAAAAAATAATGGTATCGATCACATATTCTGCCGAATGCCTTCTCATCGATAGTTGTTCCTAGAGAATATGTTGTAATCGATCAATTCTTCTATAGAAAATGTTTGTTATCAATCGATTATTTCATAGGAAAACTTGTTATCGTTAAACTTAGCTACCAAAAATATTGTTATCGATAAAGTTTTCAAAAGAAAATATTGTTATCGATAAAATTCTTCGAAGACAACTTTGTTTTAGATTTATTTTTCTAATAAAAATACTGTTATCGAAAATGTTTTGAATACAAAATATTGTTATCGATAAGACATTTCCTAGACAACATTGTTATCGATCTTTTTCTCTCAAGAAAATATTGTTATCGATCCAATTTTCTAATTGTAAATGTTGTTATCGAACAGTTCTCCATAGTAAATGTTGTTATCGAACACATATAACTTAGAAAATGTTGTTATCGATCTATTTATCGATTGTTATCGAACCCAAAGTCATTCTAAAATGCTGTAATCGAATATTTTAATCATTTAAAATCATTTTTTGCACAATAAAAAATAATTTTAAAATTAATTTTTAAAAAATGTATGATTTTTATTAAATAAAATGAACATAAAGATGGGTCGAAAAAATAAAAAAATTATGACAAATGCCGAAAAACTTAACAACAATTAAAAAAATTAAATAACAAATTTTAAACAAATAAATTAGAGTCCCGGCGAATTTTGTTTACCAGGCATTGAGTTGGGCTGGTGCGGCAGGAGCAAACTGGAATGGTTGCTGGACAAAGGAGGAGGTTTGGTAGATGGGAGTTTTGGGTGAGGCAACAACATAGGCGGCACTGGGAGCAGCGACGGTGGCGGCAGTGACATAGGCACCAGCTACTGGAGCGTTAGCCTGAGTGACATAGGTACCAGTTTGGACGGGAGCAGTTGCGGCAGTTACAAATGAAGTAGCTGGACCCGAGACATATGAGGTAGCTGGTGCGGTAACATAGGGCCCGGCAGCGGCTACATATTGTCCGGTGGCACTAACATAAGCAGCATTGGGTGCTGCGACAAAAGCAGCCTTGGGAGCGGTAGCCACAAAGTTCGCCGTCAAAGGCTGGACAAAACTGAAGGCTCCAGCAGGGTAATAGGCAATGGTGGCTACATTTTGAGCGGATGGCTGTTTCTTTTCTCCCTCCTCCTTCTTGGGTTCGGTTTCAATTTCCGAAGTGGTATCTTCATCATCTTCTTCGTCTTCCTCGCGATTGTCGGTGAATCGAGATGATTGGGGTTTACCTGCAGAGACTAAACGTCCGGATTGCAAAGGGGTGGCATATAGGCGTTGAGGTTGTGGTTGTTTCTGTTGCAGGCGGGCTGGGATTTGTCGAAGGCGTGCCGGAGCGTCATATAGGCCATTGGGTCTTTGAACTGGAGATTGGGGTTGTCCTTGTGGTTCGGAGAGTTCATTGGAACCGGAGTTAACGGTTTGGGTTTGCACTTCGAATTGTTGTTCGGCTTCAGGTTGGGGTTGTGGCTGGGTTTGAGGTTGACGTTCGGGGGCACCATAGGTCTGTTGGGGAGCGGTGTTGAATGCAGGTTGAACTTGGGGGTTGTTGCTGAAGCTGGGTTGTTGTTGACCTTGGGTGTTGGAGATGAAGGTGGGCTGTTGTTGTTGTTGAGGGTTGAAGGCGGGTTGTTGAGAGTTGGTGTTGAAGTTCGATTGCTGAGGTTGGTTGTTAAAGTTCGATTGCTGAGGTTGGTTGTTGTTAAAGGTTGCTTCCTGAGGCCTATTGTTGTTGAAGTTCGTTGGCTGAGGCTGCTGAACGGGAGTACGACCCTGCTCGGGCCTGAAACGGCTTGGAGCTCCATAGAAAACCTCAGGTTGTTGGGGTTCGGAAAGAATCTCAAAACCTCCATTATTGTTGTTGAAATTGTTGCTGCCACTTTCCTGCTTCTGTGGATGGGCGCCCAACGGGAACTGAGGCTGTTCACTGGGTAAATTAAATTCCTTGGCGGGACGATAACCCGAAGCTGGATATGGTGTGGGACGACCCGATTCCAAACGTTGCAAACGAATCGTTTGCGGCCGGCTGTAACGTTGATAACCCAAATGGGAAACATCTGCTGAGGCAGTCACTGCCAAAATCAGGACACCCAATGTGACCACCGAAGATACCATATTTTTGTGCTGTTCGTGGGTTCGGAAAAAGAAGAAGAAGCGATGTCTTTACAATAGTTCGAGATCTGTAACACTAATATTTAAATTCGTGGCCGATTCGATTTTATAGCAAACTTTTTTTATATGCGATGGTCAGAAACAAAGCTTTTGCGGATTACAAAAAAATAGCAGCAGCAACAACAAAATTCCGACTCAAAATCCCCTCCATCAAAATGTCGAATACAAAAATTATTATTAAAAGTTTCGGTAAAAAAAAAAAATTCCGAATAAACAAAATTTAGAATTCAGGCTACGTCTAGCCAAAAAGACTCATTAACTGGCAGAGGGTGGCTCAGGGCATTACCCAAAACCTCTTCGCCGTTGTTGTCTGCCATTCGGCAAACCTACTTAGCAAACAGTTAGTGTGAGCGAACTAACTGCATACTGGCTGTCTGGCTCGTGGGACCTCCGATTTTTTTTTACATTATTGACATTGACCCCTATTGTCAGCCATCCAATCGGCCAGCCAACCATTCAATCCAGTCATCGTCCACAATTAGAGGTTACATCGAGCTCATCGAGCCAATAAAAAATTAGCTGTAATCATAAAAACCGATCGATATTCAGTCAGAATATCAACCACAAAAATTGTAACGATTCTCAAAAGCAACAACAACAGTGTTGTTGTAATGTTCAGTTACAACTCAAACCATCCACCATGTCTTAGCTAATTTGGTATTCAAACAAAGTTCGTTATCAAAATGTTGTGATTTTTGTTGGCTTTTGGCCAAACTCAAATCGAAAAAATAATAAATTCCGAATCACGTCTCACCTAATGCCGTTCATATCTACAACAACAACAAAAAACCAACAACATCGACATTTGTTTTGTCACACATTTTTGTTTTTAATCGATTTTGGCAACGTCAAGTGTCAATTTGAGTGATTCACTCACTCTGCATTCTCGGGAGTTCGAACGAAGTACCTACTGGCAACTTGAAAACTTATGGAGGGGCCTGAACATCAATTAATGACACTTATGTTGTTATTATTATTGTTTTTGTAGTTGTGTTGACATGTTGTCATCGATTAAAGGCCGTAAAGAAATTTATGGTTTTTGTAATGGGATTTATCGATGGGATGGGATTTTAAAGGTCCACATATATTCTGTACCTTGAATGCCTACCAAATATTCAACCGAATTACCTGTAATTTGGTATTTTGAATTCTCATTGGATGGCAAATCACCCTACCAAAAATAATCGATATTGGTCCACTTTTAAGGGTAGCCCCCATACAAGGGTACCTCCGATTTTCAATATTTTCGGGATTTTAGGCACCATTTTTCCACGAAAATGGCTGTAATTTGGTATTTGGGGTTCTCATTAGGTGTGAAATCTTCCCACCGAAAATTATCGACATTGGTCCCCTTTAAGGTATAGTCCGCATTTACCGGCACCTTCGATTTTCGATATTTTGGGGATTTTAGGCGCCTTTTTTTCAACCAAATTGACTGTAACTTGGGGTTTTGGGTTTTCATTAGGCGTAAAATCTTACCACCGAAAATTATCGACATTGGTCCCCTTTTAGGTATAGTCCGCATTTACCGGCACCTCCGATTTTCGATATTTTGGTGATTTTAGGCACCTTTTTTTCAACCAAATTGACTGTAACTTGGGGTTTTGGGTTTTCATTAGGCGTAAAATCTTCCCACCGAAAATTATCGACATTGGTCCCCTTTTAGGTATAGTCCGCATTTACCGGCACCTCCGATTTTCGATATTTTGGGGATTTTAGGCACCTTTTTTTCAACCAAATTGACTGTAACTTGGGGTTTTGGGTTTTCATTAGGCGTAAAATCTTCCCACCGAAAATTATCGACATTGGTCCCCTTTTAGGTATAGTCCGCATTTACCGGCACCTCCGATTTTCGATATTTTGGTGATTTTAGGCGCCCTTTTCAACCGAATTGGCTGTAATTTGGTATTGTGGGTTCTCTTTAGGTGACACATCATCCTACCAAAATTTTATCAATATCGGTCCACGTTTGGACATTGAACCCCGATAACCGTACTTCCAAATTTGCGGGACTTTTGGTCCTGTTTTTCAACCGATAAGGCACAACATTGATATCTTGGATTCCTAATAGGTTGAAAAATCATCCTACCAAAAATTATCGATATTGGTCCATATTTAGGTATAGTTCCCTTATAAGGATATCCCCCGATTTTCGGTATTTTGGGGAGTTTGAACACGGTATGCAACCGAGTTAGCTGTAATTTGGTTTTTTTGGTTCTCATTGGGTAGCAAACATGCCTACCAAAAATTAACAATATCGATCCATTTTGAGGTATAGCCCTAATTTAATACCACCTTCCGATTTTCGATATTTTAATGATTTGGGACACTTTTTTCGACCACATTAGCTGTAATTTGCTATGATGGGTTCTCAGTGAGCACCAAATCTCTTCATCAAAAATTATCGACATTGGCCCACATTTAGCTATAGGCCACATATAACGACATCTCCGATGTTCGGTATTTTGAGGACATTTAGGCTCGTTTTTTAACCGAAATGGCTGTAATTAGATTTTATGTGTTCTTATTAGGTAGAAAATCGTCTTACCAAAAATGATCAATATCGGTCCAATTTTAGGTATAGGTCACATATAACGTTACCTTCCGATTTTCGATATTTTAGAACTTTTAGACACTTTTTTCAACCAAATAGGCTTTAATTTCATATTTTTGGTTCTCATTGGGGGCCACATCATCTTACCAAAAATTATCAATATCGGCCCATTTTAAGGTATAGGCCCCATGTAACGACACCTCCGATGTTCGATATTTTGGGGACATTTAGACTAGTTTTTTAACCATAATGGCTGTAATTAGATATTATGTGTTCTCACTAGGTGGAAAATCATCTTACCAAAAATGATCAACATCGGTCCAATTTTTGGTATAGGCTAACGCTACCTTCCGATTTTCGATATTGTATGAATTTTGGACTTGTTTTTCCAACGAAATGGTTGTAATTTGATATTTTGGGTTCTCGTTGGATGGCACATTATCTTACCAAAAATTATCAACATCGGTCCAATTTTAGGTATAACCCCCATATAAGGATGCCCCCCTATTTTCGGCATTTTGGCGATTTTAAGCACCTTATTTCAACCTGATCGGCCGTTATTTGGTATTTCAGGTTCACATTGGATACCTCATTTTTCCAACCAAAAATCGTAAATATCGGTCCATAGTTAGGTATAGGCCCAATGCAAATATACCCCTTATTATTCAGTATTTTGGATATTTTTGACCCTCTTTTTCAAACCGAAATATCTGTAATTTTATATTTTTGGTTCTCATTAGATGGCATATCTTCCAACCAAAAATTATCAATATCGGGTCACTTTTAAGTATAGGTTGTCTATATTACAATGCACCCGATTATCGATACTTTGGGGTTTTTGGATACGTTTCTTCAACGGAATTTTCTGTATGTTGGTATTGTGGGTTCTCATAAGGTATTAAACCTCCCTATCGAAAATTTTAGAAATCGGTCCAATTTTTGGTATAAGCCGCATATAACAATACCTTCCGATTTTCCATATTTTGGGGATTTTGGGCACATTTTTCCACCGATTTGGCTGTAATTTGGTATTTTGAATTCTCACTGGGTAGTAAACCTCTCTACCAAAAATTATCAATATCGGTTAACTTTTATGTATAGGCCCCATATAAGGGTTGACCCGATTTTTGACATTTTGTGGGATTATGGGATTCGTTTTTCAACCGAATTGGCTCTAATTTGATATTTTGGTTTTTAAACGGATATCAAATCTTCTTACCAAAAATAATTGATATCGGGCCATATTTAGGTATAGGCCCCATATAAAGGTACCCCGGATTTTCGTATGTTTGGGAATTTTAGACACCTTCTTTCATCCGAATTGGCTGTAATTTGGTATTTTAGGTTCTCATTGAGTACCAAATATATCTACCAAAAATTATTAACATCGGTCAACTTTGAGATATAACCCCCATCTAAAAGTACCTTCCGATTTTGTGTATTTCGGGGAGCTTGAACAGATTTTTCAATCGAAATGACTGTAATTTGGTATTTTGGATTCTCACTGGGTAGTAAACCTTCCTACCAAAAATTAACAATATAGGCCCAATTTTAGATATAGCACCCATTAAACGGTATCTTCCGATTTTCGGTATTATGAGGGTTTCGTGCACGCTTTTCAACTGAATTGTCTCCAATTTGATATTTTGAGATTTGATTGCATGACGAATCTCCCTGCCAAATATTATCAATATCGATCCACTTTTAGGTGTAGGTCCCATATAACTATACACCCGATTATCGATATTTTGGCCACATTTCTTCTACCGAATTGGCTGTAATTTGATATTGGGGGTTCTCATAGGGTATTAAACCTCTCTACCAAAAATGTTAGAAATCGGTCTACTTTTAGATGTAGGCCTCATATGACGATACCTTCCGATTTTCGATATTTTATGAATTTTGGATGTGTTTTCCAACCGAATTGGCTGTAATTTGATATTTTAGGTTCTCGGCGGGTAGCAAACCTTCCTACCGAAAATTAACAATATCGGTCCAATTTTAGATATAGCACCCATTAAACGGTACCTTTAGATTTTCGATATTATAGGGGTTTCGGGCACGCTTTTCAACTGAATTGTCTCCAATTTGATATTTTGGGATCTCAATGCATGATAAATCTCCCTGCCAAATTTTATCAATATCGATCCATTTTTAGGTGTAGGTCGCATATAACCATATACCCGATTATCGATATTTGGGTATATTTTGGGCACATTTCTTCAACCGAATTGGCTGTAAATTGCTATTGCGGGTTATCATAGGATATTAAACATCTCTACCAAAAATTTTAGAAATCGATCCACTTTTAGGTGTAAGCCCCATATAACTATACCTTCCGATTTTCGATATTTTGGGGATTTTGGGCACATTTTTCAACCGATTTAGC